AAAGGTTGAAAGGATGTTGTATGATGTTGTATGGTGGAGCTATACACCGGAACAACAACAGTGAGAGCTTGCATACCATGCTGAAAATAGTCCTTGAGCGTCTCCTGCCGACGAAATTCGCTCGTTGAGATCGTGAAATGGCTTTATGCTGATTGGTGTGAATGTGCTTTCTTTGACGTTTACAAATGAATCACGCTTAAAGAAACACCCAGAAGTTGACGAAATTGTCTTGTGTCACAGTTATGTCGGTACGAGGTCTGGTTGATTGAGGGCCGAAAACTCGACCACCTCGCATCCGATGCCAGGTGGAGCTGCCAAAGGTGCTGTACAGGGCTTGGTATCTTTGAGACGAAGGTTACTGAAATAGAGAACAGACTGATTAGATTTGATTAGATCTTAGCGATCTGATTGGTCCGTGTCTCCTGCAAGGCTTATCAAAGGACCCAGTGCCCCAGTAAGAAGAAACACTTAATTTATTTGGTGTGTCTTATCAACTTGCGAAAGAAACAAGTTTCGAAAAGGACGCTACTAGGGGCGCCTGGCCTTACTACAAGGAACAAGAAGCTCCTAGGAGCAAAGGGCATCGCTACTAGGAGCAAGGACGCTACTAGGGTGATCGAACATCGCCGACGTCGTCGCCATCCCAACAACTTTGAGGTGCTGACCCCGAAGGCCCGTCGCAAGAGTGGGACTGAATGGTTCCAAAAGTACCGAAATACCTTTTTTCCATCGACTTTGACCGATACCGAGCTTGTTTGATTTTCTTTCTGAAGCCTCAAGTTCGAGATCAATGCATGGAAATGCACAGATTGACAGATATCAGATTTCTCAACATAGAGCCTTGTGACATTTTGAGACTTGCTATATCCAGGAATTCTACTAGTAGCAAGAAGCTAGGAGGTTGGAGGCCATCGCTACTAGTAGCAGGAGGAATTCAAAGTGTCCTTTAAAGTGACATTGGAAGCTGCTCTCTCGCCTTCTCGTTTAATTGATGACTCGAAAACCTGTGCAGGCAAAATCTATGCCTGGGGCGCCAGCAGAGGACTAGAAGATAAACGCTGAAGTCAAACATGTTGTCAAGCGGTGGCAATTGCTGAAAGCAAGACGGCTGTTTGTGTCATGTCCCATCCTGCCGATGTACACTCTAGTAAATCGTGGTAAAAAACATGTTTTGACTAGTAACAAGAAGCTATTAGGGGCTCCTGGCCATACTACTAGGAGCAGGGACGCTACTAGGGGCTCCTGGCATCGCTACTAGTCACAGAGTGCAGGGCTTCGGAGTCAAAGCGGATCCGGTGACAGGACGAAGCAGAAACGCCTGCCTCTCCAACCCCAGGCTGGTGAGTTCACACACCGAATCGTAGCTACTAACGCTTCGCAACGGTTCACAACTTCGCGTGGCCCTTTATTCTTCTCAAGTCCTGGGTGCAACAGTCAGAGCACTTGAGAGCTGGGAAAGTGATGAGCACTAACACTAATCGGCACTTCACTTCCTGTCAGGATTTTGGGGGATCCCCTGATCCCCTCAGACAATCCATGAAACTCCCATGTGTCAGCACAAGGTGCGCACAAATTGATCTGATTTTCGGACAGATCCGCACAGCCCTGAAGCGAAACGAAGCCAAAGCGGATCTGCGCAGAGCTGTGAGGCTTGCCAAAGCCACAGAAGTTCGTTCCAGCCTCCAAGGCGAAGGCAGGGCTCTGAGGAAGACGAAAGTGGAGGAAGACTATGCATTTTATGCTTAGGATGAGTACGGATGATTTGGGTCATTCATCCTGCTTTCCGGTGGAATGAGTTTTGGTAGGAAGTGGGCACTATGCCAGGATTTGTGGAGGGTCTGGTCTCTCTCCATGGACTTATGACGACTTATGCTCGAAGGCATCCCCAAGTGCCACATCATCCAGCGAAGGGCACACGGCAATGCCGCAATGCCTTTCTTTGTAGTTTACCTTCCACTACTATACAGTATAAGCCCACTTATTTAACGATGTTTTTGTGTTTCAGTGTTTTATTTTTTTGGCACCGTTTTCTTCTTTGTTGCTGTGATTTTCTTCTTTCCGTTCACATTTCCCACAAGCTCGACTTCTCCCGACCTGTCGCCAGCCAGCGGAACCGAAAGCTGAGCCTCCCAACGGCAAGTCCGGGGGGAAAGGCGCGGTGAGGGCACTGAGAGCACCATGGAACATCCCAGAAACGTCATGGACCGCCAGTTCCACGCAAGATTGCGTCATTTATGGTATTGCGATTGGATGGTTGAGCCATGCTAGAGAGCAATCAGAGTAGTTACAAAGAACTAACCTGATAGGAAGAAGACGCTAATTCAACGTAAATCATATCACAAAGTTCTGTGTCCGTCTCCGATGGGATATCTAAGGGACATCAAAGATCTAATTATTCTAGATTAGTAGCTTCTTGCTCCTAGTAGTAAGGCCAGGAGCCCCTAGGAGCGTCCTTGCTCCTAGTAGCGATGCCCTTTGCTCCTAGTAGAGTCCTTGCTCCTATGATCTCCTATGCTACTATTCTCTTGGGGAACCCTCCGAAAAAGCATTTGGGAACGCCTCTCGCTTCCCCAGGCGTCCCGCCCAAGAAGGTGGGAGAAGGGCGGGAGTGTCACCGTTTTGAAGATTGAAGCGACGACTTGACTCGTTTGGACTCCGAGTCTTTGGACTCCAACGTTTGGGTAGGAGCAAGGACGCTACGAACGGAGCAAAGGGCATCGCTCAAATCTCTTTGAAGCTTTTTGTCCTTTCAAACTATCATGTCACTTTTCGGTGTTCACTCCCAATACCGAGTTCTTGGGCGGAGACCCACTCAAAAGGATTTCCTGTGGCCGACCGGCAGCCGGCTCCAGGGGGCAGTTCCCACACAGAAAGGAGCTGGGAAAGTCTGAGCCTGTGATTGTTTGGTTTGGTCTCGTGGACTGGTGTTGCCTTTTGATTGTGGAGCCAAAGGGCATCTATCTTGAAGTTGTTTGCCTCGATGATCACCGCAGTTGAGATGTAACTGGCACAAGAACTTACCACCATATTTCGCTCATGATTCGCCTAGTGCAGATACCCTGGCCAAGCGTGTGGGCGCAGCTTTTCCACATCAAGCCGCCTTTGATCGCCGGCTGCCCCTTGTGGCGATGCAGTCCAGCTGCAGCACGGTGAACAGATTCATTAAGCAGCACATGAGATGGAACAAACACCATGAAGCCCTTGAGCCGTGTGGGAGGGAGCAGCCATTATACGAGGGCACGGCTTTTGGAAATATCCATGATCCCCAGTCTCCAGAATAAACACCCAAATCCTTCTTTGGCGTCCCATGAGTTCCTCCTTACAGAATCACGATTGACGTGTGCAGATCTAAAATCAGCTTACTCCTACTTGCAACAACTCGCAACCCCACATACTCACGCGGCGTTTGCAAAGTTGCTACCATGGGTTTCCTGGACTCCTGGCATGGGCTGGCAACAGAAGGCACGACTGCGAAGTGATCAAATACCCTCACACTTGCTATAAATGGCTATAAACCAACCAAATATTCTTCCCCCCAACCGATTCTTCATATTGACAAAGACTCACCAGGTCATGAACTGCTGGCACAGCTGAAGAGCAGCTTTTGGGAGCTGCCGGACCCGCGGGGAGCAGAAGGAACATGTCTGTGACTTAGGTGACGAAAGTGGGTTTTGGACCGATGAAGTACATGTTCCTGATTTGCATTTTGGAAGATGTCGTTGGACTTCCGAACGGTTTTGCAATTAGCAGTATCACTAGGATGCCAATGGACTCATTCTGGTTCTCGAAGGAAGCATCAAGGAAAGACAGCTATTGCTGTAGACAGACAAGATGTTGGGAATTATCCAGATGGAAGTGTGACCCAACACGAAGGTAGTTGTCAAGCATTCATCACCGGGCAACCAATCAACGCCGTCGATAGAGTAGTTGCATAGAATGTGCCAAGAATCGAACGCATACCGCTTAGCTTCTTGTTACTAGTAGTAAGGCACCTGTTACTGGTAGCGATGCACTTGTTACTACTAGCTTAGTATCAAATTACCATACTCCGGACTCTATACGCAAAAAATGTAATTCTTGTTTCTACGTTCGCTTCTTGTTACTACTAGTAAGGCACTTGTTACTAGTAGCGATGCACTTGTTCCTAGTAGCTTCTTAAACGTTTCAAGGAGCCTGAGATTACTAAGATGGGGAACTTTTCTGCAAGCGGCATGCTTTTCGCAGGAAGACAGTCCCATGCGACACCCGGCTCAGCTACGGAATGGTCTTTGTGTAGATCATTGGCTAGGCCTGCTTTGCAGGTGGAAGAAGCCGGTCCTTTGGTACTAGCAGCGTCCTTGCTACTAGGAACAAAGGGCATGGCTACTAGTAACAAGGGCATCACTAGTAGTAGCAAATAGCTACTAGTAGCGATTCCCTTTGCTACTAGTAGTGTAGCTTCTTGTTAGTAGTGTAGGAGCTACTAGTAGCGTCCTTGCAAATAATTTGGGGATAGGCAAATGCGTCTTTTTTCCGGAGTCCCGGAGGCCATGCCATCTCTTTTTTTCCGCCGAATGGTGTCAGAGCGTGCCCAGTTAAGTTGGTGCCCGGAATGTGGGCTGTGTAGAAACTTCAACCAGGGAGGTTGTAAAAAGGGATGATTTTCAGCCCTTCACTTGGCATTTCCAGGGACCGACGCGTCATGATTTCCGGTCACAGTGCGACTCCTTGTTGTGGCCGGATGGCTCGTGCGTTCGGGGATGGATGTGCCTACTTCAAGAAAACCGCGTTCTTGTCAACAGGAAATCAAGAACATCCATAACAAAACAAAAACAAAGGGCTCTTTCAAAACAATTAACACAAAGTGATCCAAGCATTTTTTCGTTTTGTTTGTCATTGTTTCTTTCCCCAGGACCCTTTGCATTTTGGTGTCACTGTCCAATCACTTCGGCGAAGGCCTCTTGGAGCATGTGCTGCAGGAGGGCCCTCCAGAGGTGGTTCCCAGCGGTGCGCGGTTCGCGATGGACGTCTACGGCTTGGAGTCAACGCTGCAGATGGAGGGCGAGGCGCGTAGCTGCGAAGACACTTCTGTTCCTAGTAGCTTGTTCCTAGCAGTACGGCCAGGAGCCCCTAGTAGCGTTCATTGCTCCTAGTAGCGATGCCCGGAGCCCCTAGTAGCGTCCTTGTTCCTTCACTTCTTTGTGTTTTCCTTTCCAGAATTCTGCACAGAGTCCTTACAGCATGAGTCTTGTCTCTCTTGGAGCTCTCACCCATGAGGCTTTTCCTGCTTCTTCCGAAATCACCTCCACATCCACCCAGATCTAAGTGTTTATGTAGAATACTGCAAAGGAGTGACCCAATCACCACTGCACGGGCATTCCTTCCTCAACTTCTTCCAGGACGTGGAGGTCCACTGCCTCAGCACCGAGCCCACCTTCTTTGGCAACTATGCCCCGCCCGACGACTTGGACGGCCAGATCATCGACCTGGCGGGGTTCATCAATCCGGGGAATCATGGATTGTGCAAGGAAAATGTGAATGAAGAGATGGAACATCACTTGGGCAAACGAGATGGAACTTGGGTTTCCAAAGTTCATATTCATACAGGAATCCTTTTGCCTGGATGGAGTTGGAGAAGATAGGCTACCAAAAGACCTTCGATTTTGGCCCTCCACTCCTCGTCTCGGACTCCTTCCTCTTTCTGTTGTCCCCAAACGTCCTCTTCCTTTTGGGCAACGGGGTCTACAGAGTCCGCAGCCCGCCAGGTGGCCACTCGCTTTCCCAGCTCAGCGAAGCTGCAGCTGCGGCCCAAGGGACTCACCTTCGCCCGGGACTTGGCGCGACACTCGGAGGCGCCAACGGGCAGACGGAGTGATGGCTCATGAGCTTAATTGGGTCTACCGTGGTTGCCCATCCATATATAGGTGTGGGTGCAAAGCTGCAATAGCCTGCTCGGTTTGAGACTTGTGATGACGGTGTATTGGGGTTTGGAAGGGTTTCGCACAGGTGAGAGCCTGGCAAGCACAGATGGGTGCTACTCGGTGAGCATTTCATTGGCTTTGTTGCACTGGCTGTTTGAGAATTTGTCCTTCCACTGAAAGACTCCTTGGTCCTTGCCTTTTGGTACTTTAATACAAGGCTGTTTGGTCCTTTCCACGTCAATGCCGGAAAGGCTATGGCCTGGTAGTCTGTCCACTTGCCAATCCTTTACACTGAGGACGCTTGCACAGTCAAGTCTTTGGGTATTGTCCCGGAGGCCAGTGGGCCTGAGGCATCCTTCGTCAGTGGTGCCGCAGAAGTTTGATCCCTTCTGCTTTTTTTTGGTAGACAGCACAAAGCTACTTGTACCATGTTGACAAGAACAAACTGATGAGTTTCTCCAATTCTTTCATCTATATATACTCCGAGGATGAATAAGGCTTCTGACAATCTCCAAGTAATAATACCTCCCAGTACAGCTGACAGCACCAAGTCATGAGTTCTTCGAAGGAGATCGCGAATCTGAACTACACCCCAGGCGTGGCGGTGAACTTGGAGCTCCCAGAGGGAGGCACGGGATGCTCCGTTGGTCACTGTGATGAAGCCGTCGGAGCATCGTCGGAGCATCCTGCGATGAGAGCAATTGGAACCGTGCATTTAGATGTTTTTAGTATTTGTTTTGTGTGTGTGCGCGTTGTTTGGCGCGTTTGTTCGAAAACCTGTGGATTTTTGTGCACATGTTGATTTTGCGTTGGAGGCGGTCTCTTGCAGAAGAGCCCACAGCAGAAGGTGGTCCTCTCCGACCACTTGCCCATTGCTTTCACAGTGCAGTGGGTCACTGGGCTGCATACAGTGAGTGGAGGATGGAAGGGAGGAATTCGGAATAAGGATGGGAGTCAGGAGACACTTAAGAAGAGGTGCATGGTTTTGTTGGTTTGTGTAGATTGATTTAGACAATTGGTTCAACATATCGATTTCAGGTCCTCAGTGAATTCTAGCTGTTGGTCTGCAGGTCTGTGTTGAATGCTCCTTAGAATTTTAAGGCATGCAAGTTTTTTTGATGTTATGGGCAAGCTGAGGAAAGTGAGCAATCGGAGAGACACGAGCTCTACTGCACGTGCCTTGGCTTGCTTGAGCTGCTCCACAATGGAAGTTTGTAGTTGGCCTTTTAAGCCTTGCAAGGTGCGCTCTTGGTCTGCGGAAAACCACATTTCCCTCACTCGAAAGTGTGTTACTGGTAGCGATGCACTTGTTACCTCAAGAAGATCAGGTTGTTTGAAGATTGACACCCGGGTTCTAGTAGCAGAATATCGGCATGCGGCATGTGAAGAACACAACAACATGATCCCGCATGATCCAGGAACAGGATTGCCTCCGCAGGTTGAAGGTGTTGAACGCGGTTGAAGGTGTTGAAGGCCTTGCTGCTGGCAACTTTGAGTTGTAGAATTCTTCTGCTCAAAGGCTCCATGTAGATTCTATGGTATTCAGAGAGGCAACTCTAAGGCCATTGCTATGCAATTACTCATGGCTTGCAGAATGACTCTAGAGCAATTGTCTCGGTCTTTTAGATTTCCCACACTTCGTTCAGGTCAATGAATATGCTCGCTCAGAGCTACTTAGACTTCAACTTCTGGTGCCTTGGCAGGGAGTACCCTGAAGATGCTTGCCAGGTCCAGGTTGTGGTCCGCTGTGTCCTTTTGTACTAGTAGAAACAAGCTCATTTTGAAGCCCTTAAATCTTAAATACATAACAGAAAATGGGGTTTTGTCATGTTCAATCTGGTGTAGTCACTAGCGGAGTCTGTCTCAATCAAGATGTTCTGCACTGGAATGGAATTCAGACCAAACTGCTGGCAATTTGGACTTCCTTGCACACAAGAATCATTCGTTAACCTTTTGGGTACCGCATTTTCTTCGGAAGTAGATTCTGATTCTTTTTACAAAGGCACATATACGCCATACGCCTTGCTGCATTGCAGTTGCGCTTGCACCTGTATCAACCTGTCCGAACACCTGCCCTCACGATGAACTCGAGGACTTGTGGCTTTTTGCCTCCCGGCTCCGGGCCACGGCTGACAGGCGCCGCACGACGGGGCTTTCCGACTTTGTGTCGACTTGGTTCACTTCATAGCGATGCCCTTTGTTACTAGTAGCAAGAATGCGCCTCGTAGTAAGGCCAGGAGCCCCGTTCGTAGCGTCCTTGCTTCGTTCGTAGCGATGCCCTTTGCTCCTAGTAGAGTCTACAATGGTCCACCCGGCCCTGTAGACTATCAAGCACGCTTGGAAGATTGGGAGAACTGGTGATGTCGCAAGAGGAAGACCAAGTGGCTTCCACCGGAGTATAGCACCCTGGGCCGAAGCCCGGGGTTGTCCGACAACGACTTGGCGGCTGCAAAGGACAGCCCGCTGGTCAGCCAGAGGCCTAGACTTCAGGAAGTGAGCATCCTTGAGCTATAGCCACTCCATGTCAGTCTTAACATTAGTTGGACAGCCCATGACAGCCCAAACCTTGCTTCTGAGATTGGGAGCGGGTGAACCGCTGGCTCTGGCGCTGGATCTTCCGCGTACAGAGAGAAGCCTCGAAAGCACAAGTGGCAGGCTGGGAGCCACGGCAGACAAAGCGGATTTGACAAATACTGTAAACATCGGGTTTGACTATGTGAGGTAACTTCATGAAGGCAGGCGACAGGCGTTTCAATTCGTTTCACCATTTCACTACTGCTTGGAACCAGACTAGATTTTACTTTTTCTCGCGCACATTGTCCAGAGATCAGCTTCATCATCCGCACAAGAAAGAGCAGTGTGATGTGAGAGCGAAAGGATTGACATGGTAGATCTTGAGTTCAATTGTACTTAGTGCTCCGATCACTTTTTGATGGAGCACGTGGCATCGCTACTACCAGCAAGGACGCTACTAGGGGCTCCTGGCCTTACTACTAGGAACAAGAAGCTACTAGTGGAGTAGGTGAAGTAGGTTGGATGCTTGTGACGTCGCCTTTTTTGACGCCTCACGTTCTGGACGTCACACGGATCTGATCTTCGCTCTTCGGTTCAGGCAACGTCATGGCTCCAGACGCAGTCCGCCAGGGTGTTTTTGTTCAGCTGCTGATGTCCTTGGAGGAGTCAGAGCGATCGGGGCTTAGTGTTGTGACTCTTTTTTTCGCTGTTGTTCTTTGGGTGTGAAGAAAAGGAAATGCCAAGTGCTTGCGAACTACATCCAAGCCATCCAACTTTCTGCGTGCGCCAGGTCCAGACTTGCTCTTGCTGCAGGAGTTCGGCTTAGCTGAACTTTGCACCGAAGACCTCCAACATTTGACGGACCGAGCCATCACCCGAGTGAAGCGAGAATCACCGAGCTCTGTAGTGGACTTCTGACGATCACACGAGGATAGCTGATCTAGAATACTGAAAAGGCAGCTTTAGACATACACTAGCTGTTCTCCTTTGTTTTATCCGGCAAACATCGTTTTGATCAGCCCGCCCCCCTCAGATGCTGCTTTCATACTGACTGTGCATCGCATGGCATTGTGCAGGAGCGCTTGTTTGAGCAACGGCCTATGCTAAGACCACTTTTGCAATGCCACTTGGGTGTTTGATAGAGCAAACACGTCTCCAAAGTGTTTACTGTATGCTCCAAGACTTGTCCCGTGAAGATGAGTTGGTGCGTGTGGACTGATTTGATTGATTTCAATTCAAACCGTTTTGTTGTTATTTGAGACATGTTCCTAGTAGCTTCTTGCTCCTAGTAGTAAGGCCGGGAGCTCCTAGTAGCGTCTTTGCTCCTAGTAGCGATGCCCTTTGCTCCTAGTAGCTATGCCCTTTGCTCCTAGTAGCGATGCCCTTTGCTGCTAGTAGCGTCCTTGCTCCTTTGTTCAGTTTGAGGTTATGACATCGTGAATTTGGCTCCGAAGCTCCACGTGCGCCGCGACTGGGGCTGTTCCTTCAGCGACACGGGCGACTTGGGCCGAAGAGGGGCGAAGGGGATCCGAAGGGTGTGAGGAGATGTGAACTAGTAGCATCCTTGCTAGTAGTAATGCCAGGAGCTACTAGTAGCTTCATGAGGAGATGTGGAGAGCGGAGAGCTGAGGTTTCTAGTCACTCTCATGAGACTTTAAGATAGAAAAGTGATGAAAAGTGACTTGTCTAGACTCTAGACTGCAAGCGGTTTCCACTATGCACGAAGAACAACAGCTTGCTTGGATGGACTGTTCAATTCTCCTTCAGGGAACATATGACCATTGCTGAGGTTTGTTGCTGGCGAAGAAGAGTCTCATGGAGAAGTACCAGCCAGAAGCTTAGAGTGTTGGGCTCCTTTGGGGATCTTCACTCTCCAACGAAGCGAAACAGAAGGAATGCACCCAAAGCGCAAGCTGTACTCCAAATCAAATTCTACCAAGTCCCGAAGATACCTCAAAGCTTCAAGAATCTAAGAAGCGCGTTTTCTTCAACGTGTGGAACTCGTTGGAGCGTTTTCTTGAAGAGAAGTGAGCCTTGGATAGGGACGCTACTAGGAGCAAGGGCCTTACTACTAGGAACAAGAAGCTAGAAACAATAAGAAGCTATAGACCTTAATTAGAGCGCCTTAGCACGTTTTCTCACATCCCCAAACTCTTTTTTCCAACCACTCCCGCCCGCTGGAGGTTCGAACCGTTGAACTGCGCGGCCAAGGGCCAGGCCTGTGAGCTGGAGCAGATCTACTCAGCGGCCCGGACGGACGATTCCAAACAAGAAAAAAGAAGATAGAAGACAGAAGACACACATAGATGCATATTTGGGTCATTTCATGTCATTTTCAAGTGGTCAATTCAACTGTTTCTTTTTGTCGTCAATTTGAGTGCACTTCCATTTCTGAAGGCACGGTGATGGCCTCATTTTTGTCACCAAGGCCAATTCAGGGAAGCCCATTGTTGGTGCCCAGCTGCAGGAGAAGAACACGGGGAAGCCCTTAGCAAACTTCTTCGGAGCTCCTCAACTTGAAGCAACACCAGGAAGGAACGATAAGGAATGTGCTGAAAGCAATAGGAACAGGACGGAACAAGTGTTTGAGGATTGGATTGAGGAATTTGGACATTCAAAGGGCTTGCGGCTTGAGAAAAACGCAAGAAAAAGAGTTCATAGTTGCATTGCCGACTGCGATCCACTTGAGGTTCATGCGGAGAAGTCAAAAACAGTGCCTCGATTGCGATTGCCATGTTTCACGGCATCCCGTCCCTTGATCGTTTGGGTCGATTTCTTTTTTGGGCGTGTTTCATTTTTTTGTTTATCTCTGGCACTCCCCACTCTTTGCAGGCGGAGGTGCTGCGCGGCCTTTTCCACTTCGCAGGGTCGTTGCCCACATTAGCTCCTGGCCTCAACTTGGAGCGGTTTGCTCAGTTAGGAGGGATTGTTAATATACTTTAATGGTAAAGAAAAAGGACAGACAGAGGAAGACCCCCAAAGAAAAAAAAGATTAGCAACGGAACAACCTGCTCGATGTTCTTCGGGTCGGTTTGCCTTTTCACATTTTTGCACCCCATTTTGCAGCAGAATTGCGGGGATAATATAATCAGTCTAAAATTGTGTGGTTTGGATCAGTCACAAAGGAGGTTGGTGCAGTTTCCCGGACAGTGACATGACTTTGTGGTTTGATCGATATGTTTTTTTGCATTTCTGTCAGCTTAGAGCCTGCTTTTCAACCACACCGCTTCGCGGCGCAGACCGCCCGCACGGATACTTGTGCTCTCTGAGCCGGGGAAAGATCGATGGGCTCAAAGGGTCAAGGCGTGTTGTCAATCAGCCTCACAGGTACAAACACGCACACACTGTCAATTATGCAATTCTATTCGGGCAGCATAACTCACATTATCAATAGTTTTATCGTTTTCTTTCGGGAAGGCCACAGCGGCAAGCACGCACACGATGTCAATATATAATGCATTCTCACTCGGGCAGCATAGCCGACATCGCCAATGATTCGCTCGTTTTCATCGGCTTTTAAAAACATCAAAAGCACAGCGTTCTACAGCAAAAATAGCCCTTCTAAGCTAAAGCTCAATGAGCTATCTACTCCAAGTAGCAATTCTAGCGGCTTATGCGAACTGAGACAACGCCTCAGCACCTTCGGTGCGGGCGGATTTCTCTCATTGCATCGGCCATTTCTGAGGTGGTTGGTGACTTCAACGCGGTGTTGCGGGCACCATCCGCAGAGATTCCAGAGAAATCTGCGTGTTGGGAACTTTGGACCAGCAGTGTCCAAGAATTTCCGTTCGAAGGACCTTTACGGGTCGAAGCCCACTGAGCTGAAATTGGCACAAATCGGACAAATCCAGATTGTTTACAAACAGCTTTTGTGGAGGTTGGTTGAAGAATTGCATATTTTCTTGGCATCCAACGTCAATGAAACAGAATAAAAGGTCACTATCAATTAAAGTATTTTGTTGTCACAACTGTGAGTGGCCCCAACCTGGAAGTACCTTCATTAGCATCACTGCTTGGTCATATTCGGTGCAAACACCAGGAAAGAATTGAACTCAATTCTTTACCCTGCCTGTAAAAAGATGGTTGAGGGGTTGGCTGCATGGAACATTCCTTTACCGGAAGTGGCACAATCCCATTGTATATATTATACAGGTTTCCTGCAAGTCTATGCCTATGCGCATTCTCTGAATGTGTTTGAATTCAACTTGATACGAAGACTTTGTCACCCGCAAGTTCACCTCAGTGGAAGGAAGCTTAACGTCTGAAGTCTTTAAGTGTAGTTTCAGGTAGGGCAAGCAGCATAGCGACACCATGCTGAAGTTTGAGACATTTTCCTCAAAGCTGAACATTGCTGTCAAACTATTAGATCAAAGCACTCTTACAGAAAGAAACAACGAAATTAACAAAGATGGTGAAACACAGTGAGACACCTGTCTCAATTCTTTTTCGTGAACATTCAGATCTCTTCAGATGGTGGACTTTTAAGGCGTCGCCCACTGCATACAGTGCATGACACCCGAGATTCTCGACGCCACGGGATGATTCCGCGCAGAGCGTCACCATGGAATCCGTCGCTTGCGAAGGATCCTAGAAACTTGATCTCCTTTGTCATCGGAAAAGAAACAGGGAAGAGAAGGGAAGGAGGGGGCAACAACCGGAAGGAAAGAAGTCAAAGAACACAGATTGTTTGGGCCTTGCACAAGATGTGAGATCACTTGAGGCAAATAGCGAAACGTTTGAGTTCACGGGGTAATATGGATGAACACCTCGAAAGGTGTCACGCAATCTATACGGCTTTGTCGGACCTTGGTCCTAAGGCTCCTGAGAAGGGAGAGAAGGGGAAGTCTGAGGATGGAGGCAGGTCACATTTCAGACGACGCATGGTTTGGTCACTGCCGCAACGACACCCTGGCGACGCACTCGCGGATGCGTGGGGTTTCCGTCACAAAAGTCCGCGGCGTTTCTCCAGGCAAAGGGAAGTCCGGAAAGTCCAAGGGAAAGGACCGCAGCTTTGCTTGGAAGGCTCCGCAGCTCTGGCTTTTTTTTTTGTCTACAAGCTGTAACGTAAGACACACGCTCAAATAGATCAGATTGTCAACGATATCAGAGAAGGGTAACAGGTGCCTTACTAGTAGTAACAAAAAGCTAGGAACAAGTGCCACGCTAGTAGTAACAGGTGCCTTACTAGTAGTAACAAAAAGCTAGGAACAAGTGCCACGCTAGTAGTAACAGGTGCCTTACTAGTAGTAACAAAAAGCTAGGAACAAGTGCCACGCTAGTAGTAACAGGTGCCTTACTAGTAGTAACAAGAAGCTAGGAACAAGTGCCACGCTAGTAGTAACAGGTGCCTTACTAGTAGTAACAAAAAGCTAGGAACAAGTGCCACGCTAGTAGTAACAGGTACCTTACTAGTAGTAACAAAAGCTAGGAACAAGTGCCACGCTAGTAGTAACAGGTGCCTTACTAGTAGTAACAGGTGCCTTACTAGTAGTAACAAGAAGCTATTAATTCACTCGACACGAGACACGATGCGAGGACGCTCCAAGGGAACCTTCCATGCCACCACCCTCGCAGACGGCAGGGGCCTCGGCCCTGCTTGCCCGTCTCATTGAAACTCTCGTTGAAACTATTGAACACATGCTCTGTCCTGCAGGCTCCAAGCGGGGAGAAGCCAGTGGTTGTCTCCGGGCGCTTGAAGACCCTTGAGGCCAGTGACGGCTAAACAAGTTCATGGCTGGTGAGGTAAACCAAAGCCCACAAGGAGGAAGGAGTGGAGGTTTGACAAAGATCGTAGCATTTCGACGGCGTTGAACCTGGTGTTGCAGTCCATTTGGTGTGGCACATATGCCATGGCAACATGAGACCTGCTTGGTTGGGCTCACAGATGCTTCACCTGAAATACATGGTCCTTGGGATTAGAATAGACCGCCTCATGCCTCCTGCCTTCAGGACATGTGAGCTATCACTTCCACTTCTAAGCAATCAAATCACATGGATTGTTGTTGTGCGTGTCCAACAAGCAATCCACCACTGAACCTTGGTCCACAGAATGTCAATGGCAGAGCTACGATAAAACACATTGCAACCTTTTGCTCCAGGTGCTTTCTTTCTGGTGTTTTTCTACAGTTGCCCAATTTGT